TGGAGTCGCCCCGCAGCAATTGAGTTACGAGGGTGTGGAGCTTGCTGGCGACGGCGCTGTTGGCGAGGGCTGCATCGCGAATGTGTTCGAAGCACATTCCCGAGGGGCCGGCGCCGACCCCGTTTTCGCTGCGACTCAGTAACCTGGTGAACTCTGCGAGCGTGAGGGAGGGGGGGACCTCCGACTCGTCGATGTGTGGCCAAGCGAGTGACTAGTCAGCGGCGGTGGATGCTTGGTTTTCAATGCCTCGAGGACTTCCTGGGTTGACTCGCTGACCGGTGTCGAGTCGAGGGCCAGCAGGGCGCGTCTCAAGCTGCCTCGGCGGACCAGCCCCTCGGCTCGAGATATTTTGCCGAGGGTGTCCCCTGTGTGACGTGGCGCCGGTGGGTCGTGGATGGCGTCCACTGCTGCCAGGTAAAGCTCGTGCCAATCGCCTGCCAGGAACTGCTGGAGCCTTTTTTCCACGGTGGGCCAGTCAGGGTGCTTTGGCGAGTTGAGGCGAAGTGTCAGTCGAGGTGCGAAAAGTAACAGGCGCCAGCCTGGCAGGCTGGTAGGCTGGGCTGCGAGGTGGAGGAGGGGTGTCAGCAGGACGAGGGCGAAAAGCTGGCGAAGTTTGGGGGGGATCTTGCGGGAAAGGGGGGGTTGGCGACTGTCGCAGAGGAGCCCGATATCCCAGCTGGCTACCCCCGCGAAAAGCTGTTCGTTGGCGGCTAGCTCTGCTGGCGAAATTTGTCGCTGGGGTTGGCTGGGCTGTTCTGTGCGGTCCCGCTCGTTCCGTGCGTTCGGCCTGTTTTCAGCCGCGGGAGCTGGGGCGTGCCGAGTGCGTCGCGACGCTTGTCCCCGAAATGCTCCGTCTCGAGCGTCCCCTTCGGATCCCTCAGTGCTTGACTCGTACTGTGATTCCTCTCTATAAGTCGGGTCCCTCCTCTCCTCCTCGTCAGTTGCTTGTTCCCTCCGTCTCGCCCTTAAAGCCCGTCCTGCAGCCCTCTGGAAGTCGTTCACTGGCCCTCCCCCTGCCATGAGCTCGTTTGCCCTGCTGCGCTCTCTCCGTTGACCTCCACCCCGTCCCGGGTCTCCTCGCGGCGTTTGTCGCGGCCCGAGGCGCGTCCCTGCCGTCGGTGGGGTGCGGCGGTGAGTGCTCGATGGGAAGCGAAGGGGGGTTTCGCGGCCGTCAGGGGCGATCCGCCGATCTGTCGAGCTCGGCTGATAGCGGGCGCCCCCAAGATCTGGCGAGCTTGGCCGCCTACCCCGCGCCGTTGTGGGAGCGGGGGATCCCCGCTCTCCGAAGCCAGCGGCAGTCGCCAGACCCCGTGTGTTTCCGTGCGGGGAGTGGTTCGGCGGCGCCTGCTCTGCGCGGCGAGCAGGGAGGGACCCTGGGGCCCGAGCGCGCAGAGCGTAGCGGTGGCCCAGCGGGGTCGTCGCCTCGCCACCCGCTGTCTCGGCCGCCGTCACCGCGCCCGCCGTCTCGGCCGCCCTCCCCCTGTCTGCGTTCGTGCTATTCGTCCCCACGGCGTCCGTCGCGTCCCGCCTCCCCGCGTCCGCCGTCGCGTCCGGTGTCCCCGCGTCGGCCGTCGCGTCATTCGTCGCCGTCGCCACCATCCCACGCTCTGCCTCAGCGGCGGACCGAGCCGCTGCCGTCCTTGCAGCTGCCGTCGCGTCGCTCTCCCCCCCCGGAGCTGGCTCCCCGCCGATCTCCGGGCCGTCTTGGTCCGCCTGCTGCACAGCCCTGGGGGACTCCTGGGGGCGGCGGCCGTGCTGGACCGCGTCGCGGCCGTCGCGCCGGCCTTGCCGCACGGACGGCGGCTCTTGAGCGCCAGCTGGCGACCAGCGCGCGGACCCTTGAAGGCATTCTAAGTGGCGTTCAGGCGCTTGCTTCGACCGCGCCGATGGGAGGGGCTGCACAGACCGCGCCCGGTGCGTTGCATCCGCGTCCGTGTCATCCGTTCCCGCCTCTCCTCGCCCCTCCGCATCCGCCGTCGCTGTTTCCGGCGAGTGCGCCCGTGTGTTTCCAGCCGGCGTCGGCGCTCCTGGGACCTCCGCCGCCTGTGCACCGCGGGGCTCGTTTTCCCATGGCGCCTCCCACACTGGACACTCCGGCGGCCTCCAGTGGAGCGCTCCCCGAGTGGCAACCACCTCCGCAGTCCTTCGTCCCCGATCACTGGGTTCCTGGGCTTCCTGCCCGTGCGTCGGGTGTGGGGGTGTATGGGCCCTTCGTGCCACCCCGTCGACTGGCGGTGTCCCCAAATGGAGTTGAGGAGGGGGCAGAAGCAGCGGAGACGGGGGGGATGGAGTCGTCGGAGGAGATCTCCCCCGGGTTCCGTGCCCAGTCCCGGACCCAGCGCCCAGTGGGTACGCGGAGCCAACCGGGGGCGCAGGAGGGCGGTCTGCCGGGCAGGCGGCAGACGGGGCAAGTGGTCGCGGTTCCAGCAGCCACGTTCCGTCGGATGTGCCAGACGAGGAGGGCGTTTGGGCTGCTGGCGGTGGTCGTGGAGGCGACGCACTCCGCGCTGCTGGGGTCAGAGAGCTCCCGAAAGATGCAGCACTCACACTTGCGGACGAGTTCGGACGCGCTTGCAGACCTCGTGGTGGTGATGGGGCAAGCGCTGCCTGTGCCCGGCCCGGGAAATGGATTGGACCCGGCCGTGGCCGCCGCAATGAAAGCGATGTCGGAGAGCATCGCGTTGGCGTCAGCCGTAGATCTCGCAGGCAGCTGCGCGTCCACGCTGCGGGTGCTGGTGGGCCTACTGTCGGCGCAGCTGGAAGAGGCCGCGGGGTTCGAGTGACGGGGTGGCGTCTCGCGTAGGTTCGCGGGCGGCCCGCGTCAGCGGCCGTCTGGGAGGTTGGCGAGCGTCCCGTCAGTAGTAGGAGTCCCTCCATGCTGGGGGCATTGGAGCGGGCGCTGTAGGGATTTGTTGTGCCCTTGGGGCTTGGTGCTTGTATTGAAAACGGAGTAGTCGTTTCCTGGTGTTCTTGCCGTCCCCGAACGCGCGGCCGGAGGCCGCGCTGCGAGCGGCGGCGGCCGGAGGCCGCCGACGCGAGCCGCTGGCAAGGAAGGAGAAATGAGAACTGAACTAAAAACAGAGGAGAATGAGAGGGAGAGGGCCTTATATAGCTTGGGAACCCATGCTCTCTCTCTCTCGCTCTCTCTCTCTCGCTCTCTCCGCTGGCAAGGAAGGAGAAATGAGAACTGAACTAAAAACAGAGGAGAATGAGAGGGAGAGGGCCTTATATAGCTTGGGAACCCATGCTCTCTCTCTCTCGCTCTCTCTCTCTCGCTCTCTCCGCTGGCAAGGAAGGAGAAATGAGAACTGAACTAAAAACAGAGGAGAATGAGAGGGAGAGGGCCTTATATAGCTTGGGAACCCATGCTCTCTCTCTCTCGCTCTCTCTCTCTCGCTCTCTCCGCTGGCAAGGAAGGAGAAATGAGAACTGAACTAAAAACAGAGGAGAATGAGAGGGAGAGGGCCTTATATAGCTTGGGAACCCATGCTCTCTCTCTCTCGCTCTCTCTCTCTCGCTCTCTCCGCTGGCAAGGAAGGAGAAATGAGAACTGAACTAAAAACAGAGGAGAATGAGAGGGAGAGGGCCTTATATAGCTTGGGAACCCATGCTCTCTCTCTCTCGCTCTCTCTCTCTCGCTCTCTCCGCTGGCAAGGAAGGAGAAATGAGAACTGAACTAAAAACAGAGGAGAATGAGAGGGAGAGGGCCTTATATAGCTTGGGAACCCATGCTCTCTCTCTCTCGCTCTCTCTCTCTCGCTCTCTCCGCTGGCAAGGAAGGAGAAATGAGAACTGAACTAAAAACAGAGGAGAATGAGAGGGAGAGGGCCTTATATAGCTTGGGAACCCATGCTCTCTCTCTCTCGCTCTCTCTCTCTCGCTCTCTCCGCTGGCAAGGAAGGAGAAATGAGAACTGAACTAAAAACAGAGGAGAATGAGAGGGAGAGGGCCTTATATAGCTTGGGAACCCATGCTCTCTCTCTCTCGCTCTCTCTCTCTCGCTCTCTCCGCTGGCAAGGAAGGAGAAATGAGAACTGAACTAAAAACAGAGGAGAATGAGAGGGAGAGGGCCTTATATAGCTTGGGAACCCATGCTCTCTCTCTCTCGCTCTCTCTCTCTCGCTCTCTCCGCTGGCAAGGAAGGAGAAATGAGAACTGAACTAAAAACAGAGGAGAATGAGAGGGAGAGGGCCTTATATAGCTTGGGAACCCATGCTCTCTCTCTCTCGCTCTCTCTCTCTCGCTCTCTCCGCTGGCAAGGAAGGAGAAATGAGAACTGAACTAAAAACAGAGGAGAATGAGAGGGAGAGGGCCTTATATAGCTTGGGAACCCATGCTCTCTCTCTCTCGCTCTCTCTCTCTCGCTCTCTCCGCTGGCAAGGAAGGAGAAATGAGAACTGAACTAAAAACAGAGGAGAATGAGAGGGAGAGGGCCTTATATAGCTTGGGAACCCATGCTCTCTCTCTCTCGCTCTCTCTCTCTCGCTCTCTCCGCTGGCAAGGAAGGAGAAATGAGAACTGAACTAAAAACAGAGGAGAATGAGAGGGAGAGGGCCTTATATAGCTTGGGAACCCATGCTCTCTCTCTCTCGCTCTCTCTCTCTCGCTCTCTCCGCTGGCAAGGAAGGAGAAATGAGAACTGAACTAAAAACAGAGGAGAATGAGAGGGAGAGGGCCTTATATAGCTTGGGAACCCATGCTCTCTCTCTCTCGCTCTCTCTCTCTCGCTCTCTCCGCTGGCAAGGAAGGAGAAATGAGAACTGAACTAAAAACAGAGGAGAATGAGAGGGAGAGGGCCTTATATAGCTTGGGAACCCATGCTCTCTCTCTCTCGCTCTCTCTCTCTCGCTCTCTCCGCTGGCAAGGAAGGAGAAATGAGAACTGAACTAAAAACAGAGGAGAATGAGAGGGAGAGGGCCTTATATAGCTTGGGAACTCAGGCTCTCTCTCTCTCTCTCTCTCTCTGTCTCACCCACTGTCCGTTGATGGTGACTCTGCAGGTCGGTGCTTGTAAAGGGCGGTCATCTTGAGGGGGACGCAGCAACAGACGTCTTCTACGACGGTGAGCCACTGCTTCACTTCTCCCCGCCATTCCTTACTCTTCACTGATGCTAGCGATGCTTCTGGAGTGACGTTACCTCTTCACTGATGCTAGTGATGCTTCTGGAGTGACGTTACCTCTTCACTGATGCTAGTGAGCTTTCGCTCTCAGTTGCTGGCTGAGTCCCCGCCTAGTCTTTCGTGCTGGCTGAGTCCCCGCCTAGTCTTTCGTGCTGGCTGAGTCCCCGCCTAGTCTTTCGTGCTGGCTGAGTCCCCGCCTAGTCTTTCGTGCTGGCTGAGTCCCCGCCTAGTCTTTCGTGCTGGCTGAGTTCCCCGCCTTTTCTGTTTTCAGATGTCTCAAAACGAAATCACTACACCACACCTCCACCTCCTCCCGTCCTGTCCCGTCTTCCCCTCGTCTTCCCCTCGTCTTCCCCTCGTCTTCCCCTCGTCTTCCCCTCGTCTTCCCCTCGTCTTCCCCTCGTCTTCCCCTCGTCTTCCCCTCGTCTTCCCCTCGTCTTCCCCTCGTCTTCCCCTCGTCTTCCCCTCGTCTTCCCCTCGTCTTCCCCACGTCTTCCCCACGTCTTCCCCACGTCGTTCCCTCTTCCCCTGTTTTAACAACCGCTTTTGATGAGCTCTCCTCGCCCCGACTGGCCACCACCAACACACACAGCACCTGATTCAGCATTCCTCCTCCTGCTCCCTCAACAACCCCCCCTCTACCCCGCCCCCTCCTCCCCCCACCCCCCCCCCCTTCCTACTTTCTCCCCTTGCAGGAGCGGCGTTCCATGAGCCTTCTTGGCCCCAACTGACGACCACCAACACACACGGCACTGTGTGCAGCATTCCCCCCACTGCTCCCAATTCCCTTGCCCCTCAACAACCAACAACCAAACCCCCCCCCCCCTTCCCCCTCCCCCCACCCGCTTCTCCCGTCCCCCCCTTTGCTTCTTCCCCTTGCAGGAGTGGCCTTCCATAAGCTTTCCTCGCCCCGACTGCCCACCACCACCACCAACACGCATGGCACGGGGCGCAGGGTCCCCCCCTTGCGTCCCATTCCCTTGCCCCCTCAGCACCCCCTCTCCCCCACTTTCCCCTCCCCCCTCTTTACTCCCCCCCTTGCAGGAGCAGCGTTCCATATGCTTTCCTCGCTCCGCCTGGCGACCACCAACATGCATGGCACGGGGCGCAGGGTCCCCCCCTTGGGCCCCGTTTCCTTGCCCCTGCAACACCCCCCCTCCCCCACATTCCCCCTCCCACCTCTTTACTCCCCCCCTTGCAGGAGCGGCGTTCCATGAGCTCTCCTCGCCCCGACTGGCCACCACCACCAACACACACGGCACTGTGTGAATCATTCCCCCCTCTTCCCCCCCCCCCCTTTATTTGCCCCCGTTCCCCTGTCCTCTTCCGCCCCCCTCCCCTCCCCCCCTCTTTTCTACTTCCCCCCCTTGCAGGAGCGGCGTTCCATGAGCTTTCTTCGCCCCGACTGGCCACCACCAACACGCACGGCACGGGGTGCAGCATGGCTGCTAGCATTGCCGCTGAGCTGGTGCAGGGGAGAGGGGTGAAAGAGGCCGTAGTGGTGAGTGTGTGCTTGTCTGTGTGAGCATGTGTGTGTGTGTGAGGGGGGAGGAAAGGGGGAGGATTCCAGTGCATGTGGCCTGGCGTGGTGACCACCAACACGCACGGCGCGAGGTGCAGCATGGCTGCTAGCATTGCTGCGGAGCTGGCACAGGGGAGAGGGATGAAAGAGGCCGTAGTCTGCTTTTGAGTCGACTCAAAAGCAGTGGTGAGTGCAGGGGAGGGGAGGAGTTTAGTTTTGAGGCGCCTCAAAACTAGCATTGCTGCGGAGCTGGCACAGGGGAGAGGGGTGAAAGAGGCCGTAGTGGTGAGTGCAGGGGAGGGGAGGAGGGGTTGGAATTGGGGGAGGGGGGGGTGGTTGGGGGTGGGGTGGGGGGGGTTGGGGGGGAAGATGGAAGTTCTGTTTTTTATACGCCTGGCAACCCTTGCAGGAGTGGCCTTGCATGAGCTTTCCTCGCCCCGACTGCCCACCACCACCAACACACATGGCACGGGGTGCTGAATGGCTGCTGCGGAGCTGGCGCAAGGCTGAGGGGTGAAGGAATGAGTGGTGGTGCTGTTGGTTGGTGTGTAGGTTGAGGCACGGCCGCTGAGGCAGTGTTGGTTGAGTTGTTGGGAAGTGTTGCCGCCGCTGAGTCCAGTGTTGTTGATATGATATCCTCACCCAACCCCCCCCCCCTCCCCTCTCCCCCACTTCTCCCTGTTGCCCCGCGGCCCCACCGTGCCCGTACCCCTGCTTATCACTACATGTTTTATTCTGCAATTTTCAGGAGGCCAAGGCCTACCTCTCCCACATCCTCGCTAAGAGCGTCCCCATAACCATGGGCAGCGGGCCCCAGGGCCCTCTCAACCATCTGCCCCTCTCCTGCCACTTCGGCCTACCCAACGCACGCGCTGCCTTCCGGCCTGGCATGCTGCGGCTGTACGCTGTGACTGACTCGAGAATGAACAAGACGTGGGGGCGGAGTGTGGGGGATGCGATACGGGAAGCTATAGCAGGGGGGGCGACTTTCCTACAGATCAGGTGCGCGCATGTACATGTGCATGTGCATCTGCATGTGCATGTGCCACCTGTCATCTGTCACTTGATCAAGCATGCTGCGACTGTACGTGGTGACTGACCCCGAGGATGAACAAGGCATGGCGGCCGAGCGTAGGGGATGCCATAAAAGAAGCTATCGCAGGGGGGGCTACTTCACTCCAGATCAGGTGGGGGTGTGGATGAGCATGTGCTACATTTCCACACGCGCCAGCCAAATATGTAATGTGCAGAGCTACGTTCCTGCAAATCGGGTGTGTGCCATGGGCATCAAGCAGGGGGCATCAAGCAGGGTGCATTAAAGCGAGAGGTCAAAATAGTGAAGACGGGTCCAACTTGAAAAGGCCCAGATGTCCGTTTTTGCGACTAAGGGACAAAACTGCGATGGGGCAGAGGGTACACAGTCGAGAAATGCAAGCAGGGGAAACTGGGCGAGAAGATGCAGTTACCTGATTGGTTGGCGGGAAAAATATGTCGTACGGTGGGAAAAATGGCTCGGGCAAAATCGCAAGCCGCGCGCCACCTGTCGCCCAGCCCCCACTGCCTGTAAGCTGCACCAAGTGGGCCCAACTTGAATTTCAAGTTGGACCCGGGTTCACTACACCAGCAAAACTGGGGCTGGGCCCCGATTGGTCGAAATGCTAACCACGCAAATCTATGGTCGTAAAATTTGTCGCCAGTGCCAAATGTCGCAAGCGCAATTCGATTTCGTGGCCTACGGCTTGGTAAAAAACGGGGGCTGCTGCCTGCCCCTCCAAAAACATATTCAGTGCTGGGCCGTTTCTAGTTGGGCCCAACTAGAAAGGGGGGTCACTATTATAGTCTCTCGCTTTAAGCAGGGGGCATCAAGCAGGGGGCATCAAGCAGGGTGCATCAACTGTGTGTGTGGAAGTATGGGCTACCTTCCAGCCGAGCATGCTATGCTGTGACTGACTCCAGGATGAACAAGATGCTGATTTACTTATAAGACAAATTCGAGGAGGGGGCGGGGTGTGACAGCAGGCAGCTGGGGGGGCAGGGTGTGACAGCAGGAAGCTTATTTAGTCGACTCGAATATCTCCGGGCCCGCGGTGTGACAGCAGGGAACTTTTTCTTACGCTTTGCAGTTGTCTTGGGATGGATGGATGGATTGGGTTAGAACTTAGATTTCCCTAACCCATTTCCTCTGCTGATGCTCTTGGTGGTGGTTGCTGTTGTGGTTGTTTCAGGGAGAAGGACATTGAGACTGGAGACTTCGTCCAGGTACAGCGTTCCCTCTGTGCCGTGCCATGCCATGCCATGCCATGCCATGATACCCCCGTGACCCGTCGCGCTTGCATCTTCCATTCCGTCCTTCCCCCAGCACCGTTCCATACTGACATTCCTGTGCCCAGCCTGTACCAGCCTGTGTGCCTGACTGTGTGTCTGACTCTCTTCATATGTGTATTTCTTTTCAAGAAATACATTCGAGCAATGCATTTTGACAAGCATCCTAGTCTCCTGCTACTTCCCTTCCCACCTGGCAGACATGCTTGGCGCATATGGTCGAGATTCTGCCCCCTCCCTCCTGCCTATTCCCCCTATCTCTTCCCCCCACCCTCTCCGCCCTGCCTGTTCCCCCACCCTCTCCGCCCTGCCTGTTCCCCCCATCCTCTCCCCCCTGCCTGTTCCCCCCACCCTCTCCCCCCTGCCTGTTCCCCCCACCCCTCCGCCCTGCCTGTTCCGCCCCCCCCTCTCCGCCCTGCCTGCCCCCCCCACCCTCTCCGCCTTGCCTGTTCCGCACTCCCTCTCCGCCCTGCCTGCTCCCCCCACCGTCTCCCCCCAGCCTGTTCCCCCCACCCTCTCCGCCCTGCCTGTTCCCCCCACCCTCTCCGCCCTGCCTGTTCCCCCCACCCTCTCCGCCCTGCCTGTTCCCCCCACCCTCTCCGCCCTGCCTGTTCCGCCCTCCCTCTCCGCCCTGCCTGCTCCCCCCACCCTCTCCCCCCTGCCTGTTCCCCCACCCTCTCCCCCCTGCCTGTTTCCCCCACCCTCTCCGCCTTGCCTGTTCCCCCCACCCTTTCCCCACCCTCTCCGCCCTGCCTGTTCGGCCTCCCTCTCCGCCCTGCCTGTTCCCCCCACCCTCTCCCCCCTGCCTGTTCCCCCCACCCTCTCCCCCTGCCTGTTCCCCACCTGTCCCCCCCAACCCCTCCGCCCTGCCTGTTCCGCCCTCCCTCTCCGCCCTGCCTGTTCCCCCCACCCTCTCCCCCCTGCCTGTTCCCCCACCCTCTCCCCCTGCCTGTTCCGCCCTCCCTCTCCGCCCTGCCTGTTCCCCCCACCCTCTCCCCCCTGCCTGTTCCCCCCACCCTCTCCCCCCTGCCTGTTCCGCCCTCCCTCTCCGCCCTGCCTGTTCCCCCCACCGTCTCCCCCCGGCCTGTCCCCCCCACCCTCTCCGCCCTGCCTTCTCCTTTTGCCACCATCATCATCTCCTCCGCTCCCCTCCCCCTCCCCTCTCCCCCTCTCCCCTCACCACCATCCCTTTGCCCTTTCATCCCCCTGCCCCCCCTTCCCCCTCCTCCCCTCCTCCCCTCCTCCGCTCCTCCCCTTCCCCCCCGCTCCCCTCCGCCCCTCTCCACTCCTCCATTCCCCCCCTCTTCCCCTCCCTACAGCAAGAAGCGGAGGCTGTGGCGGTGGCACGGGCGCACGGCATCCACCTGGTGATCAACGACCGAGTCGATGTGGCCCTGGCAGTGGATGCAGACGGCATCCACGTGGGACAGACTGATATGGACGCTAACCCTTGCCCCCCCCCAATGCCCACTACCCAATGGCCTCTCCCTGTCACCACCCATCCCTTCGCCCCCTCATTCCCCTCCTCCCCCTCCCCTCCCCCCCACCTCCCATCCCCCCTTGACCCTTGCAATGAGCAGCAAGCAGCAGAGGCAGTGGCGGTGGCGCGGGCGCACGGCATCCCCCTGGTGATCAATGACCGCGTCGACGTGGCTCTGGCAGTGGATGCAGACGGCATCCACGTGGGGCAGTCCGACATGGATGCTGCAACCGTCAGGCAGATCCTCGGCCCTACGCGGATCATTGGTGTCTCATGCAAGAGTCCAGCGCATGCCGAGAAGGCGTGGAGGGACGGAGCGGATTATATCGGGGTCGGGGGTGTATTCCCAACGAAGACCAAGGAGAATAACCGCACTATTGGGGTGGCAGGCCTCGCGGACGTGTGCCTTGTATCGAAGCTTCCGGTTGTTGCTATAGGGGGGATATCTGGGGGGAATATTGCGGATGTGGTGGAAGGAGTGGCTGAAGCTGCTTCTAAGGCAGCTCAAGCAGGTGAGTCCTCAGGTGAATCTTCAGGTGGTTCTGGAGGTGTGTGGGGGAAGAGTGCATGCGGAGCACTGGGAGGGGTTGCAGTGGTGTCTGCAATATTCAACCAAGCAGATATTGTCGTTGCGACAAAGGGCCTTGTGCAAGCCTTGGATGCTGCAGAGGATGGCACACTTTTGTGTAAATGAGTCTTCGTATTGTTGTGTAGTGTTGGTGGTGCTATGCTCTGGTGTGGTGTTTGGTGACAATTTTATTCATATGTTTTGAAGTAGGGGTGACAGTTAGAAGTTCGATTTTTTTTTTTTTTTTTTTTGAAAGTAGTGGGAGCTCGAATCATCTTTGTTCTTGCTTAGCACTCCTTTAATTACCAGCATCCATTCTATCTGGTATGTGTTCAAGACAAATACATGAGGTTGGGCTACCCATTGCGTGTATCAAGTAACAATGTCCTCAACCTCCAGCTTTTGACTGCTAGTGGGGCCGGTTGTCAGCTACCCAGGTGCCTGCCTGCCAGTGGCGTCAGCCTGCAAGTCTGGCCACTGAGGAGCATGAGCTGGTTTTGGCTGGCTTGAGGCGTGGGGCTGGCACTGCAATGCGAAATCGTTGTCGCATACTTTCTCTTGCTGTTTCGCTGTGGTTTCCAAGTTACACATTCGGCACAGTTCAACCACATCATTGGGAGTTGAGAGGGAGTTGCGATAACCAGGAACCCAGATGAACAAGAGGAGAGGGTCGCTCCCTTTTCGCGATAGACGGATCTGGAGGCTTTTCGCCAGATCTGGTCTCAGCCTCTCATTCGCCAGATACGCCGAAAGCCATTTCGTTTCACCTGCTCCGTTCGATCGAGACGAGCATCTCGCCTGCTTGTTCGTTGACCCGAGGAAAGATCGAGATTCCTTCTTTTCCCCTCCCCTCCCCTCTCCTCCTCCCCCCTCCCCCTCCCCCAACCTCCTGCACTTCTATGCGTAGAGTTTCTGGGGAGAGCTCCTGGGGGGAGTTCCCCCGTGGGAATTCCTTGGGAGTTCCTCCGGAGGGCGTTCCCCGCCAAACTGCACGTCGTTTGTAACAGCCTCGAGTGTCCCGACAAGCCGCCCCACTGTCGTCAGTTCTGCCGCGACTCGCGCTCGACCTTCCTTTCCTTCCTTCCTTTCATCATCATGACGTTGCTTGCGGAGAGCCCCTCCTCGACTCGACATCCTCGATTCCTTCCCCAGAAAAACAGAAAATCGATGTTGCGTGGGGGGTGCTCCAGGTCGTTTACCTTACCAGGCTGCTCTTTTTCACGGATTCGCAAAAAATATGTCGGCTGTTTTATTCATTCAAGTTAGCACTGTAAATCTATGGCTTCCGATTCAGCCAGATTCATCGTGACATGAAGCCCGACTTCACGGCTCATGCTGATCCATAGCTCCATCTTTCCCGCCGGCTTTCACGCACCACGACGTCGGTTTCCGCGTGTAGGTATTTCTGCTTCTTGCGGAAAAGCTTCCAACGCGCGTCTTCCTCGCGTGTCCCTCAGCACCGTTCGGTTTCCGGCAGCTGTCCTAAAGGTTCTTTGAATCCTAGAGATTTCCGCTTGTAGATATTTCAGCTTCTTTTTGAGAAGCTTCCAACGCTCCTCTCCTCGCGTGCTTACCGTTCGGCTTGGGGATATCTGTTCGAGAAGTGATTGAGATCCCGGTAGCGCTACTCGTTGGTCGGCTACTACTAATTGTATATGGTGTATGCGTTATCATTCTCACGATACTTTGAGAGGATCGTAGTATATTCGATTTGCTAGGATCACTACTCCTCTCTTTTTTTCCTTTCGCGTGCGATTTTCCTACTACTTGTACCTCCAATCGCGGCTCTCGCAACCGTAGTGGCGATCGATTCGCGAAAGCTTCGCGCATGCCGTCGCCATGCAGCAAGTCGTCGCACACGACAGTCTTTGTAGCACTAGCACCGCTGCGACGGGCGACTTCGCAAGCAATCGCCGAAGGCAGTCACATCCGTCGCATCCGTCGCATCCGTCGCATCCGTCGCAGCCGTCGCAGCCGTCGCAGCCGTCGCAGCAGCATCACGAGACCAACCACCATACCACTCATCGCCCCTCCAGTAAAAGCGCACCAGCCCCGCCCAAGCCTTCCACGTTGCAGTCACATCTGATACAGTCACCTCCGAGGTGTAGCCCACCACCACCGCCATCATTTTCATCCTCGTTACTATCACGCTCCTCTCTATCCCTCAACCAACGGCTCCTCCTCCTCCTCCTCTTCCTCACGGGCTTCCTCCTCGGTTCCCTCTCCGCGCACGTCCTCCTTTTAGACGGCCTCGCTACCATATCGAAGCTCTCCCGCCACCGCGCCGCGCTGCTCGCGTCCACCCGCCGACAGCTCGACCGGCGGCGGCGCCGCTGGCTCCTCCCGCAGCCGCCGCCAGCTCGACTGTCGTCATCGTCTTTAGCGTCGTCGTTAGCGTCGTCGTTAGCTGGCACTAGTCCCAGTATTGCTGGTGCCAGCAGCACACCTACCACTGATGTAGGGCCACCATCGCAAGAAGGGTCGCAAGGGGCGGCGCTCAGTGGCCCAGGGGACAGCGGGCCGATGCGCAATTCCACGTCAGCGTCGTCGGTATCCATGTCGGCATCGCCGTCGTCGTCCACGTCAACGTCGTCAGATTCCCCGTCGGCGTCGTCCGCCGCTGCAGCAGCAGCAGCAGCAGGGGGGGGGGCTGCAGCAGCGGCAGGGGGGGCAGCAGCGGCAGGGGGGGCAGCAGCGGTAAGGGGGGCAGCAGCGGCAGGGGGGGCAGCAGCGGCAGCGGCAGGGGGGGAACCGGAATTGGATCCAGAGGCGCGGCATCGCATGGTGCGGGCTGACGAGCTGCAGCGAGCGCTGGCGACGATGGTGAAGGGTCGCAGCGTGTGCGCGACGATCGCGAACGTCGCGTTCGAGGATATGCTGCTCAACTGGTGGGAGCACACGCGGCGTTCTGGGATACAGAACGTGCTGGTCGGCGCATTGGATGACTATACCATGAACGTGAGTGAACCTTTATGGCGTACATCGTAGTAACGTGGAGTTGTGCATCCACGGGAGAGAAAATTTCGAAAGTCACCCCGGAAGCATTTGTGCTTCGAACCTAACCCAACCCCTCTCTTTCCTCTCCAGTTGGGAGGTGAGAGGAGAGAATGGTCAAGGGAAGAGGGTGCTGGGATTCGAGGAGTTGTGATAATAAAGGGCGATTAGAAAGCAAAAGCGGGGGTGTAGGGTTTGCTTCTCTGTCCGATGGCGCTATAAGCCGGTTGGCTTATAAGCCTATAAGCCTATAAGTGGTTCAGGGTGGGGTTTTAGATTTGCAGCCTTCCATTTTCTTCATCTTTTTCTCTCCTCTCCCTCTGTCTGTACCCCTCTTCCCCTCCGCTTCCCCCCTCTCTCCCCCCCTCTCTCCCCCTCCCCCTGATACCTCTCCCCCCTTTCCCGTTTCCCCCCTTTTCCCCCTCACTCCACCTCATCTGCCCCTTTCTCTCTCCCTTTCCCGGTTGCCCTTCCCCTCCCTCTCCCCTGTGCCCCATCCCCCCGCTTCTCCCCCCTCCGCCTCCCCCTTCCTCTCCCCCCCCCCCCCCCCCCCCCCCCCACCCAAAAAAACACCGCAGTTAACCCATCGTCACCGCATCCCATCCATCCGCCTGCACGGGGTGCTCCCTCCAGGAAACTTCCGCAGCAACGCCACAGCTTTCCAGGGCATGGGCGCACTAAAGACGGCTTTAATCTCCTCGGTTCTAGAGGCGGGGTGGGACGTGCTACTAAGTGACACTGACGTGGTGTGGCTGAGAGACCCCCACGTGTACTTCTACGAGAGCGCTGACGTGGCGCATGCTGATTTGTTCGTCACGTCTGACTCGCTCTCGCACAGCAACGACGTGGCCAGGTACGTGTGTGCTGGACTTTCTTGTTGTTTCGGACGTATGTGTTTTCTGTACTGACTTTGCGATTTTGTGGCTTTTACATCTGCATATGGGTGTTGTGCGACCAACTACTTCTCCTTCCGATCTTTTAGTGTTTCGGCACGTGTGCGCATTTAAGGTGGTGTGGATTCACGTGTTTTGGCTTTACTCCCCATGCACTCCTAAACCCTTCCTGTCCCTTCGTCCCCCCACCTCCTTCCCCCCACCTCCACACACAACCCCCCCCCCCCACCCCCCAGCCAGCAGCGCAACCCCAACGTATGACAGGCAGGGACGCCCAGGGCTGGTTCTGCAACGCCGCACCCCGCAAGTGTGCCTCTAACCCTGTCCTCTTCTCCCCCCCCCCCTCCCCAGCCAGCAGCGCAACCCCAACGTGATGGTTGGCAGGGACGCCCAGGGTCGGTTCCGCAACGCCGCTCCCCATGCGCTCCCAACACCGTTCCCTTCTCCACCACCCTTCCCCTTTCTCCCCTCTCCCCCTCTCTCCCTCTCCCCGCACCCTCAGCCAGCAGCGCAAACCCAACGTGATGCTACGCAGGGACGCCCAGGGCTGGTTCTGCAATGCCATTCCCCACGCGCGCGCCCCTAAACCCGTTCTCTTCCCCCCTCTCCCCCCTCTCCCCCCTCTCCCCCCTCTCCCCCCTCTCCCCCCTCTCCCCCCTCTCCCCCCTCCCCCCACCCCAGCCAGCAACGCAACCCCAACGTGATGGTGGGCCGGGACGCCCAGGGCTGGTTCCGCAACGCCACTCCCAGAGCCACTGAGATCTTTGGCAACGCATACGAGCACGCACTCAACACAGGGATCCTCTTCTTTAGAGCGTCCCCCGTTACTGTCACGTTCGCGCTGACGTGGCACCACGCGATGCGGACGCGGGGGAGGAGCGAGGGGTGGGAGAGGATATGGGGCGACCAGCACGCATTCAACCTGCTGCTAAGATATGGCATGTTCCCCATTCAGGTGGGTGCTAACATCCACGCTGAAAGTTGCACATTGTTCTTATACAGGTAACAAGCAAGTGGGAGTGAGATAGGATGGGGATGAAGGGGAGGAGTGAGGGGTGGGAGAGGAGATGGCCAGCACACGTTCAACCTGCTGCTGCAATATAGCATGTTCCCCATACTTGTTCACCCACGCCCTCATCCACCCTTTCACAGGTCCCTCCGAACCTCATTTCTTGCCCAAAAAACATCCCTGAAACTCCAGTTCCCCTCCTCCTCCCCTCCTCTTCCCCTCCTCCTCCCCTCCTCTTCCCCTCCTCCTCCCCTCCTCTTCCCCTCCTCCTCCCCTCCTCTTCCCCTCCTCCTCCCCCCTATATCAGGTGGTCTCGTCCCAGACCACCGGCCGGCCCATCAGCAACTGCATGTTCTGGGCCTTCTCCCACCGCCTCAAGCTCGCCCTGTTGCCCCTCGCGCTCTACACTCTCACGCCCTCCAAACCTCATTTCTTGCCCAAAAGCATCCCTAAAATTCCAGTTCCCCTCGTCAACCCCTCCTCTTCCCCTCCTCCTCCCCTCCTCTTCCCCCCTATATCAGGTAGTTTCCTCCCCCTCCACCGGCCGGCCCATCAGCAACCGCGTGTTCTGGGCCTTCTCGCACCGCCTCAAGCTCGCCCTGTTGCCCCTCGCGCTCTTCTGCAACGGCCACGTCTTCTTCGAGCAGCGGATTCCCAAGAGGCTCGGAGTGACCCCCTTTGCGGTGCACAGCACGTTCCAGTTTCACTATGGCGCCGGGAAGATCGGGAGATTCAGAGAGGCAGGCCTGTGGGCGCTCGACCCCCCCGAGTGAGTGTTGAGAGGGGCTCTGGTATCTTGTCTAGGCATGTGTGCTGCTGGTGCGCTGCGTCCAGTGGGCTGTCCCTTCGCGCTCTTCTGCAATGGCCACGTCTTCTTCGAGCAGCGGATGCCCAAGCGGCTGGGAGTGACCCCCTTTGCGGTTCACGGCACGTTCCAGTTTCACTATGGCGCTGGGAAAATCGGGAGATTCAGATAGGTAGGCCTGTGGGCGCTCGACCCCCCAGGGTAAGTGGCGCGGTGTCTTTTCAGGCATGTGTGGGTGTGGGTGTGTCTTTTGGGCTGCTCGCTCTTCTGTGGCGCTACTCTTCTGTGACGGCCACTTCTTCTTCGAGCAGTGGATCTCCTAGCGGCTCAGAGCCACGCCCTTGAGATTCAGCCGTCCACTCATTCAACCCATCCTCTCAAGCTGAGTCCTCACCCACCCTCCCCCTGTCAGTCACGGGTCGTGGCTCCGACACTACCCTCACTCGCACACTCACCGCCCTTCCCCCCCTCGGGTATCCCTCCCAAACCAAGCCCATTAAAAAATGGATCCCGTTTCAGACACCTACACCCACTCACCCACCCCCCCTTTCCCCCCTTCCTTTACCCCACTGTCCCCCCTGCCCCCCTTCCCCCCTGCCACCCTGCCTCCTGTCGCCCTCCCCAACTGGTGATGTCCCACCCCCTGCAACCCCTACCCCGTACCACCTTGCAACCCCTAACCCCAGCACCCTGCAACCCCTTCATTCCTTTCCCCCTACCCCCCTGCCCCCCTACCCCCCTGCCCCCTGCCCCCCTGCCCCCCTCCCCCCTGCCCCTTGCTGATGCCCCACCCCCTACCCAGGTTCTACACCCAAGGAAACTTCCTCTCGTTCGATGTGAAGCTTCCTGCATGGATCGAAACCATGCCTACAGGCATCGACAAGCACCAGGCAGCCATTCAGTTCGCCTATGTAAGGACTTCCCCTTGTCTCACCCTCTTGCGCAAGCCTATGCAAGCCTTCCCTACGCTAGACGTTGGTCATGCCGACGTGCATTGGCAAGTAACCTCCCCCTGTCTATAGTTGATTTGGTAGGTTAGATTCTGGTGGGTTTGATAAGAAAGGTGTAGATGATGAGGAGACACGAAAGTTTGTAGTTTAATGTCCTCCTTGCACATCTTATTCTTTGTTTGTGTCTTGTCTTTCCCGTTCCCAGTTGCAGCGGGCCTCTGCGGTAGAAGTCCTCGATTTGAATATTAATTTGCAGAAGAAAGTGAAACGCGCGAAGGAGGTTGTGAGGCATTTCTCGCCGCCTCCTTCGCGCATTTCACGTTCTTTTGCAAATTACTATTCAAATCGAGGACTTCCATTGCTGAGGCTTGCTGCAACCGGGAACGGGAGAGGGAAGACACAAACAAAGAATTAGACGAGCAAAGAGAACATTGGAGTACATACTCCCTCGCCTCCTTATCATCCACACCTTTCGTATCGAACCCTCCACAATCGAAACTACTAAATTCACACGTTTCGGTTCGCCCATGTGTGCCCTTCCTCATGTCTCACCTCACCCTCCTCTACATAAGCGCATGCAAGCCCTTCCCTAGGTAACACCATCTTGGCCATGCCTACATGCCTCCCCACCCCGCCCCGCCCCACCCCACCCCAAACCATTCAGCTCGCCTGTGTGAGCCCTTCACGCCCTTCCTTTCCTAATCCCTAATCACTAAGCTCTATCCCCCTTGTCTCTCCCCTTTCAACTGCTCCCCACCCCCCCCAAGACTCCTCAACCACCCCCCACTCCTCCCCACCTCCCCAGCTAGTGACCCACATGGCTCTGGCCATAGCTCGTCTCCTCAAACACTTAGTCATTCTCCCCCATGTCACCTGCTTCCTTCCTTCCTCTCCTACTCATAAAGCTCTCACCCCCTTGCCTCTCCCTTCCCCCCCGTTCCCCACCCACCTACCGACACCCCCCCACACCCCTTTCCCCCCCACAGGTAGCGACCCACAAAGGTCTGGCCATAGCTCGTCTACTCGATTGCTTCCTCATCCCGCCCCATATCACCTGCTTCCGTCCTTCCTTCATCTTCACTTAACGCCACTTCCTTCCCTGCGCCGCCCTTACCTCCCCCCTTCCCCCTTCTCCCCTTCCCCCTTTCCCCCGCCCCCAGGTAGTTACTCGCAAGGCTCTGGCCATAGCTCGACTTCTCAACCGCTTCCTCATCCTCCCCCATGTCACCTGCTACTGCGACCGGTCAGTGCTCCTTGCTCCCCTCCCCTGGTCAGCCTGTGCCCCTCGTGCCTCGTATGGCCAGTGGCCCTGGTGCTCTTTCGTTTCACTGTGATTGCCCCTCCTCTCCTCATCCTCCCCCATGTCACCTGCTACTGCGACCGGTCAGTGCTCCTTGCTCCCTTGGTCAGCCAGTGCCCGTTGCTCCCTTGGTCAGAGCCCCTCCCGCCTTGCTCCCTAAGCTTTTTATTATGGCCCCTCCTCTCCTCATCCTCCCACACGTAACCCGTCAGTGCAACTCCACTCCACCATTCCCTCCCTTCCCTCCCTTCCCTCTCTTCCCCCACTCTCTTCCCCCCCCCTCCCTCCCATCTCTCCCCTTGTTCCTCCTCTTTCCCTGTCCGATCCTTCACTATCCGTTCGCCAAATCCATTCCCCCCTCACACCCCCCACTTTATCTCTGTTGTTTTCTCCTGCAGGTGGTGGGACAGCCTGTGGGAGCCATGCAGGGCGCCTGGGGGCGACATAGACCCGCCCTTCACCTGCCCTATCGACCTCTTTATCAACCCCATGGCGTGGGGCTCCGACCCCCACACCATGCTCTACCGCCCTGCCTCCTTCCTCTCCTTACCGCAAGTCCCAAATGAGATCCGCTCCTCAAAAGCACTTGTGAAAGTGGATTATGGGCCGGGTGTTATTGATTTTGGAAGTGACACTTTCTCGCGCCTTCCTTTGGCTGCCGATGGGCTTTCCTCGAACCTCCCCTCAGCTCCGACCCTCCTCTTGGATGCAGCACAGGCGCAGGGGCATGCAGCGACGACCTCACTGCATGCACCACAAGGGGGGGATACAGGGGAAGAGCAGGAAAGAAGCGTGCAGGAGGGCAGAAGAGAGTGGGTGTTGCTCCCTGCCAATGCTACGGATGGCGAGGTGACGAGGTGTTTGGGTGCGCTGCGGTTGGTGCGAGTGCTGCATCTGGCAAACGCTGTGGACTCCTTCTGCCGGTGAGAGATAAGGGGACTGGGGGGGATGGGGGGAAAGGGGGGGGTGTGGGGGGAGAGCAGCTATTTCTACCTGCCAAAGCGACAGATGGCGAGGTGATGAGGTGCTTGGGAGGGCTGCTGTTGGTGCGAGTGCTGCGTCTGGCAAAAGCTGCTGACTCCTTCTGTCGGCAAGAGATGAGGGGGCTGGGTGGGGGGGTGGGGAGAGGAGGGAGGGATGCTGGTCGGTGCATAGTAGAGAGTGTCATGAACAGTGAATCGGTATATTGAATGTTCTGTTGTGTGCATGCTGCATCGGGCAAACGCTGCTGACTCCTTCTGCCGGCGGGAGAAAGGGTCGGGCGGGCGGCCTGGGGAAAGAGCAGGCAGGGGATGGAGGGAGGGGGGGGAGAGCGCGGGTGTTGTTCCCTGCGAATGCGACAGATGGGGAGGTGACTAGGTGTTTGGGAGGGCTGCAGTTGCTGCGAGTTCTGCATCTGGCAAATGCTGCTGACTCCTTCTGCCAGTGAGAGACAAGGTGGGGGGTGAGGGGGAGGGAGGGAGGGAGGGAGGGGAGGGAAGGTGACTGGGTAAGAGGGAGCAGTTGGTAGAGAATTATAACTGCTGGATAATCATGATGATTGTGCTGGATGATCATGATGACTGTGCTGGGTGATGGTTCAAATTGAGAGCCTACGCATCTCCTGTCTCCTAAGTTCTCATGCTTGTGTATGCCTTGCTCCTTGTGGCCTGCAGGCACGTTGATTCGAATTCAGTGGGTGCATTTGACAGGCTCACCCGGCCGTATTTCACTCAGGACTGGTGTTGTACACCCAAGCATGAGACTCGTAAATTTGAGATCCAACCACTAGCAGATGTTACATTTGCGTCATGTAACAGATATGATGCGCAATGAAAGCCATTTTCTCATAACCACCCGTGTACAGTCGTGTTATTGGCCATTGGTTTGAACAGGGCTGGCTTGGTCGGCTCGGCTCGGTCTTTTTCTTTGTCCCTAATGCAGTACAGGTCAGACGCGACTAGTGCAACGACTCCTAAGGCACACATTCGCATAGGGCAATGTTCTGTTATGTGCAACTCCCATATTCACAGCGTGTATGATGTTCCACCAATTGTATACGCATACAGAATATTGTCGCAACCTCTAACAAGCAATGAAAAATGGTCAAGACCACAATGCATTGGTCGGGGATCCAAAAAGATCGACATGATCCCCAACCGACGCTGACAAAACCCATTCACCAATCGTAGCATGCCACCTATGTTCACGACATCTGACGTTATTTCTGGACGTAATCCGTCAGGAGGGGCAAATGAACCCGGAACTGGAGTGGACTGAAATCCAAGGTGGACGACGGGAGCCCGACGTCACCCCGTCATGCAGGGATATTAAGACACGCCAGCAGAGTGTCCAGCGCAGCTTCACCTGCCCAGTTACGCGGCGGCTCGATGGCGCGCGTCCGTCGGGTCGCATTCACAGTGGCACAGAAAATTGCCATTTGTGATTATGAAAGCAAGCACCAGTCCCTCCGCCTCTATGACTTGGTGCAGTGGTGCCGCACTAGGTTCGGATTGTTTCCTGACCGCAGCACCATCTCCAGAATTCTCAGTCACGAAGCATGATGGCGGGCACTAGGACAAGAAAGCACTAAGCACAAGCGACTGCGAAATGCTTTTTGGCCCGAGCTGGAGGACCGTCTTAGCACGTGGATTCGAGCAGTCAACAACGCGGGGCTACCCATCTCGACGGCAACTCGTCCAGCAACGCACGCTCAGGGAACAATCCCTATGCTGATTTAACATGGTATGCCTCATTCGTGCAACATTGCCTCCTATGTTTTCGCCTCGCCAGATTGCTCCACAACAACAGCTTAAGTGGCAGCTTTCCAGGCTCCATCAGCAAGCTCGTAGACCTTAAAATGCTGTATGCGCTCATCTTCCCTTGGTGAACTTCGAGGGATATGATATCCGTGCACCATGTGACCTTCATATGCAATGGAATAGGATTTCCGCAAACTCTATTGGACACACACAGTCATGAAACTTGCCGATTTGAGGGGAATCGACTTATTTGTAGAGTTACAAGCAAGGAATAACAAAAGACAAGGGTCACCAGGGGAGATTAAGGTGAAGTAGATTATTGTATTGCTTAGGTCATCCACAAGGTACATTCTTTTTGTGGGTGTTACAAGGCGAAAGCGAACTCACCCAAAAGTTCGCCAACTCAGCGAACTGTAGATTTCGAGGTTGGATTTGTCCAACCAAAATTGTGCGCCTCGAACTGAACAAGTCCACAACCCCAAAATTGTACAGCTGCCTGTGAGTCACAGCACGACTCTAGAGCAGATTCCGAGAGCTAGCAAAGCGTGGAAAGCGCCAGCGCAACCTAGATAGTAACTACTGCAGCTACTACAAGTGCCAGCAAAGACTACAATCGACATCTACAAGGTGACGAAGACGCCAGCACTACTTGGAAAATGAAAACTACTTGTATAGTTAATTCCTATTCTTGTTTAGCTATTTCCTAGGAGAGACAACAAGGCAAGGCTACTTGTAAATAATCATGAGCTTGCTTGCTTGTCTCCAGCTAGGATAGAAATGCCAAGGCGCCACGGGCGACCTTATCTAGGCGCCTTTAGGAGTATCAAGATGCCAAGAAAAGATTTCCTAGTATAAGTGTGCTCTCTTCTTTGTTGGAAGCTATCATATGATCTAGTGATTAAGCTAGCACTCTTTCTTCAAGGATCTCTCAATCTCTACTCCTACTAACAGCCCCAGAGCTGTTATATTTGGTCTCAGAGCCACGTTCCTGCATTTTTTTTTTCTAGAACGTCATGATGTCCGAGCAACCCCCTTCTCCTGACGATTGGGCGGCTTTTCTAGAGAATTACCGCGCCCAAATCGTTTCTGAAGTTCGTGAGAGCTTGCGAGCTGAGTTGCAAGCTAGTATGGTTGCAGCCGGTGCGGTAGAGCGAATCCTCCTCCTGCTACGCCTTCTGGAGATAATCAGCGCGCTAGACCGGCGATTCCCGATTTCTTCATCCCAGGCAAAAGTCAACCCGTTGTTAGTCGTTGGCTCTTTTTAGTGGAGCAGTACTTGACGCTGAGCCACGTTGCACCTTCCGAGTGGAGCGCCTTTGCCGGCACGTTACTCCGCGGCTCCGCAGTTGCTTGGTGGCAAGCTGCACACACCTCCATCACATCGTGGCAGCACTTCACGCAGGCGTTCACGATCGCCTTCCAACCGGTGAATCCGAGCATCAAGGCGCGTGATCGACTTGCGGCTCTCAAGCAGCTGAAATCCGTTCAAGAGTACGCCGCCAACTTCCGCGACATCGCCCAAGAAATCCCCGACCTCTCCGACGCTGAACGCATGGACCGCTTCAAGCGTGGGTTGAAGCAGAACGTGCGTATGGAGGTTGAGTTGAGGGACTGCACGACGCTTGAGGAAATGATAAGAGTCGCTGAACGGTATGACTCAATTCAATTTGCCTACAAAGCAAGGTTTCCTCGCGCCCCGTTGCTCCCTTTTGCTCCCTCCTATCAGCCCTCTGCTTCAACAGGCTACGCTCAGCAAGAACCTGCTCCGATTGACCTGGATGTGATGGAGAAGAAGCGGAATCAGAACCCCTCCGTCGTCTACGTCAAGTGCGGCAAGAAAGGTCACATCTGGCGATTCTGCCGAAGTCCTCCAAATCCAAAACCACTACTTCCTAACCCTGGAAAAGGTGGTCACCAGTAAGTGCGGGGCGACTTTCTGGTGCAACCCCTAGTTCCATGATCGCTTCCCTTGAAAACCCTTCTCCCTCTAAACCCCTTTACCTCTCTATGACCATTCGAGACCGAATCGTTAAAGCCTTGATTGACAGTGGTGCCTCCTCTAATTTCATCTCCTCCTCACTGATCTCTGAATTATCCCTTCCTCTCCAACCAGACATAAAACCTCAGACAGTCTTACTTGCCGACGGGTCATCCCTCTCGTGTGGCCCCGTTCCTTACCCTGTCAACTGCACCATCGGATCTTACAAGGACAAGCTCTGCTTTCAGCAAGCTCCTTTGAAAGGTCACGATGTCATTCTTGGGAGAAACTGGTTTTCTGCCAAGAACCCGTCCATTGACTGGACCCATGACCATGTCACCATCAAGCATAACGGCACAGACATCACCCTACCTCAATTCCCTTCTTCCCCTTCCTTACCTACGTGCAACCTTCTTTCTGCAAGACAGATAAAGAAATCCCTTAAAGACCCCACCGCACAATTTTTCCTCTGCTATCTTCACCAAATTTCTCAAGCCTCATCTATCCCTCCATCTCCTCCTGTGTCTAATGACCCTCCTGAAATTCAGAAACTTCTTTCTGAATTTAAGGATGTCTTTCCCTCAGACCTCCCTCCAAGACTACCACCCAAACGAGCCGTTGACCACAGAATCTGCCTACAGCCTGGATCTGAGCCTACTGTGCGTGCTACATATCGGATGAGCACGGTGGAGTCGCAAGAAGTCCAGAAGCAACTTGAGGAGCTCCTGGACAAAGGCTTCATCCGCGTAAGCTCATCGCCCTATGCAGCACCAATCCTCTTTGTAAAAAAGAAGGATGGTAGCATGCGCATGTGTATCGACTACCGTGCACTCAACAAAATCACCATCAAGAACCGCTATCCCCTTCCTCGCGTTGAGGAGCTTTTCGACCAGTTGGGTGAGGCCAAAATCTTTTCTAAGCTAGATCTTCGCAGCGGCTATCACCAAGTACGTGTCGCTGATGAAGATATTGAGAAAACTGCATTTCGAACTCGGTATGGGCACTTTGAATTTCTTGTCCTTCCCTTTGGACAAACAAATGCCCCAGCCACTTTCATGTGTATGATGAATGATATCTTCCGTGATTTCTTAGACCGATTTGTCATTATCTTTATTGATGACATTTTGATCTATAGCAAATCATTGGATGAGCATGTTCATCATATAAGACAGGTGCTGACTCGTCTTCGCCAGCACCGCCTTTTCGTCAAACAAAGCAAATGTGAGTTTGCTCGGTCCTCGATTCCTTTCTTGGGCCATATTATCTCACACAATCAATTGTCCATGGACCCTTCTAAGGTAAAAGCAGTCCTAGATTGGAAGCCTCCAACTTCCATCAAAGAACTGCAAGCCTTTCTTGGCCTCGCCAACTATTATCGAAAGTCCATTCAACACTTTGCTGCTATCACTTCCCCCCTCTCTAACCTACTGCGTAAGACAGAAGGATTCCACTGGGGACCAGATGAAAACAAAGCCTTTGAATCCATCAAACAAGCCTTAACCTCTTCTCCTACTCTAGCCCTTCCCAACCCTTCCCTTCCCTATACCATATGGACAGATGCCTCCAGTGTTGCAACGGGTGCAATCCTTTGTCAAGATCAGGGACATGGCCTTCAACCCCTTGCTTTCGACTCTCGAAAGTTCAAACCTGCTGAGTGCAACTATGCCACTCATGACCGTGAGATGTTGGCCATTGTCCATGCCATAAAAAAGTGGCGTTGCTATGTCCATATGCAACCCGTCACTGTCCTTACTGACCATTGCACCCTTCAACACTTCAACACCCAACCTCACCTTACCCCCATATAGGCTCGTTGGATGGAATACTTGGAACAGTATGTGCCTGAGCTGAAGATTGAGTACCGTGCTGGTCGCCTTAATCCTGCTGACTCATTGACTCGACCTCCACCCTCTCAGCTTTCAGCCATTGGCACAGTGACGTGGGATGAGAACTTCATCAGCAAGTTCACCAAGGGATATCGGCGTGACTCATTTTACCTCTCCTCTGCCCCTACCCATAAGTCTGTCTATTATGAATCCCCTTTCTGGTACAAGACAGACTCTCACGCCATCTGTGTCCCAGTAAACCGAAAGCTGCGTCACCTCTTGCTTCGCGAGCATCATGA